GTCAGCCTGTCCATGTTTTGCATCCTCCCACTGGGAAGCACAGGGCTCACTGCCAAACTGAAGCCCTGTTTTTCAATAGTAAATCAGGAAAACAAATGTTGATTTCCTCATCAGACTAGAGAGACTCTATTTTATTAAATAACTCCTACAGATCAGCCAAGTGCCTGACTTAAATGCATAAAAATCAAGGACTTTGCAATTTGGCCATATTTGGGGTTACAGTGCACAGTAAAGTGATGGCATTCAAAGTTTACTGAGAGGTATCTGCCAAACATTAAGGCAGTGGTGAGGTGCTGAGACTGGGGACATTAGATTGCTAGACATGTGCAACAAACAGGATTTATGGTGAGAAGATTGTTTTGGTTTTCTCCCCTCCCCTGTCCTGGGCAAGCGTTCATTGTCAGCAGGCACTGCTCGTTGGCAGTGACTGGGCCAGGGCTCTACTCCAGGGCCCTGATCTTCCCTTTGGAAACTGGGGGGAAACAAAACATTGGTGGACTCCCAGCCCAGCAAAGAAATACACACAAGTAGAGCTGTATGGGATGTGTGGAGGCCGTGCTCCAGAGTTGCCTGACAGCTTCATCTTCCTCTTGCTGGACGTTGACCTGCATGTGACCTGTGCAGCTCTAGGCACGTGGGGCAGCTTCTGCTTCTCCCACCAGTCCCCTCTGGGTGATCCAACACCTGTAGATTGTACTTGCAGCATCCTTCTTTGCCGTGGGCTTTTGAGTTGACAAAGCCAATGCAGCAGCAAAGATGCTAAGGTCAGAGATGTCTGCGGAGACACAAAAATCAACACCTGCAGTGCTGGTTTTAATACATGATCATATGCAAGATGACATCGTTTGTGCTTCTTTGCTTGGAAGCTTATTTCCCCTCCTGCCTGCAGTTGTTAGCAGCCATGTGGCATCCTGACATTTCGTCTTTATTAACTTCTTGACAGATAGCCTTTTGGGGCTTACTGGGAGATTAATTGTTTTCAGGAAGCTTTTAGACTCTTAGCGGGGTTTCATCTTTTCTTTCCCCATTCTTTCAAACAGGAGACTCTAATAAAGCACTATGAGATGTATTAAAGTGCTCTGAGAATGCCAGGAACATCACTCTTAGTGTCCCCCAGCTTCTCTGCCCTTTGCAGCCCAGAGCTGAGAGCAACAAGGTGGGGGGGACACAGTTTTGAGCAGGGCACCAGCTGCAGCCATCATTGCAGCCACTTTAGATTTTCCCAGTGGCATTCTTCCAGGGAAAAAAAGAGCTTACAAGCCTGGCTATTTTTTTATAGTCAATGCATGTGATTAGCAGTATTTATAAAAACTGTGCAGAAAACAGCATCTCAGGAAAAGGAAAAGAACATGCAGATGCACCGAGCAAAAGGAGAAATTAGCAGACTTTGAAGTCAGCAAAAGTGCCTGATTAAGGATTTAAAAATCAGAATTTTGCAATTTGGCTGTGCTGTGGGTTTCTAAAGCACAATTCAGTGATGGCTTTTGAGACCTATGGAACCTATTTTGTAAATGACTGCATATGTAATGCCATCTGAAGATACCAGCAACATTAGTGTTTTCAGAGTGGAAAGAAAGAAACCTCACAAACAAAAATGTTAAAACAGAATATGGGTGATGAACTCTTGGTAGGCCCCTCAAACATCTCCTTTCCTCCCTTACAAATTTTGTGATTTCAGCATTTTCTTTGCATTGCCCATACGTTTCTCCCTCTGGTTTGTTTATATGTATTTTTCTCAAATCATAAGATAAGGATTTAGAAGAATATTTTCCCATTCCTATTTATTATAAATCAATAGCAAATCGTCCATTTAGTAAGTAATTCAAGCCCAGCAATTTTTCATTAGCGTAAGAATTTAAATTTCCCTTGTGCTTCTTTGCAGATCTAGATTTACTAGAACACAGAATGAAACTTGGAGGTATTTACTATTAATCTGTGAGTTCAAATGCAGGTTGGCAGAATATGAGGTGCTGTGATGATATCCTTGTTCAGGAGCCTCTATTACGTTTTGGAAACTGGCCAGAGTTTAATGATAAGGATACATAAACAATACTTTTCACCTGATGGCATATAGCTGGCTTATTTGTTCAGTCTCTGCAGACTGTTAGAAATGTGCACAAAGATGGTTTTCCACCCCTTTTTAGATGTAGTCCTTTCAGTTTAGCTGTGCTTATTTGAAACTATAAAGGGACTCCTTGGTAGTCTCCCTGCTGTACCCATAATGTGGTTTGGAGCACTCAGCGCTACCAATCCTTCATCCACTGGAGATAACAAATGTTATAAATTAGGGACAGTCTCTTCTGTTACATAAAGGAGCATAGTGGGATGAGATTCCTCATTAGCTCTGGCCATAGAAATACAGAAAAATAATTCCTTTGCAGGAAGAGTGATGCTAAATGACATCCAAACACCAGGGCATGAAAAGATGTCAGTTTTTATCCAAGTGTTTTATGCCTTTTTAAAGGACACAAATGGCATGAATATGTTTAAATATTAATTGCTTAAGGTGCCTTTCTTTGACATCAAAAGTAGTGTGCATAAATTCCTCATTTTATGTGATAGCTTTCATTACCTTTCCATCTGTAATCCACACCTCCTGCTAGGAGGGACAGAACTGCAATGCTCATTAGGACTCTCCCTTTAGAGGAAGCCAGGTGAAAAAGACCTCATCTTTTATGCTATAGCAGAAGGTGAAAATGTTACCAGATGAACAATTCTTTCCAGCAGTGCTTTGGCTAGTCTCACCATGTAATTGAAAATTCATTGTAAGCAATCAAGCTCCATTAGTTCCTACCCAGGAATCTTCACTTTTCAGCTCCTTGCTCATCCAAAGACATACTTGCTGAGGAGAGGTGCAGAGTCAGCAGGAGAGATGGACAATATGAATAATTAAAATAGAGGTTGAGTTTTCATTTGCTACTAAAAAGAAATTGTTTGCACAAAAATAGAATGAAACAGGGCATCTGAGATGCTCCAGAAGGATGGCTGTTTTGTCTGGTGGTGGCATTTTTCCCTCCAGGAGGATTGTACATGACAGAGGTATTTGATTTAGAATGGCAACCTATCATAGTATTTTTTGGAAACATTCTGGTGTGGATAACACTAGAGATGTGTTTGGCAAAGGTAGAAACTGCTAACAAATAGCAGCTAACTAATGAATGGGGATCTGCAGTGTGCACACATGAGAATTACCCCATGAAAAAGCCCATATTACTCAAAATATTATCTCAGTGACAAACACCCAGGAATCATGATATTGCAAAATTAAGGTTAGATTCGATTTTTAATCTAGTTGTGCTGCTAAATGATACCAAGTACTGTGTTTTCATGGCTTTCTTCTGAATTCAGTGTTACAATTGGACATGACTTTTCTGTTCAGTACTTTTTCTTCCACTGCTCAATCTTTTTTACTTATTTTTTGCCCATTAAGTAAATCTTCTTCTGAAGAGAAGATTAATTTTCTCAGAACTCTTACCATCCTAGCCTCATATTTTTGCAGATATTATTAAATTTATTTTCATGAACCACTTAGAGCCAAGGGGCCTGTTACACCTCTCTTTTAGAGATGCAGCGTGAGGCACTGAGATTAAAAAAATCTTCTTTTGATTAACTAAACTGTGAGAGATTTTAGAGAATTTAACTTCTCGGTGTGCAGAGAATTACAAAACACACAAAGCATGACCAGCATTACTTTATTTGTATCAAGGGCTCAGAACATCTATAAATCTGTCTGAAAAAACTTCATTAATATAATGTGTGACTATACCACTGGTGAGACTAGAGTCCAGTTTTCCAAACCAGCATTTTTCTGCCTGACCTTGTCACTTTCTGTAAACTTCGCTTGATACCTCGATATCTTTCAACACCTGAAACATGTAAAGCAAGTGTTCTGCCTCTTCTTCACAGAAAACAAGCCCAGAATATTCAGAAATGATATAGTGACTTTAACATATTGAACGAGAAAGGAATTCTGGGAAGAAAAAAAAAAAAGAGTATGTAGTTTTGCAATTACAGTATGCATTAGTATGAGAGGACTGAAGAGAGATCAAATAAGCATCATCATCTCTCCTTTCCTCTAACTTTTTGATTGCTCTCTTGCCTGTACTTTATACACAGTAAAGTACTTCCTATACTTTTTTCACACAGGCCTCTAGTGGAAGGGGAAGAGATTCCATCATCAGTTATGATCATGTGCCATCAGCAAGGTGATAACTCCAGGCTCTCTTAGACTCTGCCACTGCCAGCAAGGGGAGGCTGATCTTGGCAGCGAAGGCTCAGGCACGGTGAGTCCCTGGAGGTACAGCTAGCAGGACATAGGGGTGTTGGACACTCTGTACAGCAGATTGGTAGACTGTAGCTGTCAATCTAAATAAGGAGTTTATTAATCTGCAGTGTTCGTATATTCTTCCACCCACTGAGCGTTGTTCTTCACTCTATAAACGACTGATGACTGATGATTTCACTAAAGAGCCACAATGCCAAGGACCATACCTCAGGGCAGGAACCATACAGTGTTTTGATGATGAGACCTCAAAACATCTATTATTCCCGCATGGCAAACTAAATTAGGGTTACCCCAGCTAGCTCAAGCTGGATGGGTGTGACGCTGAGCAGCAACCTGCAGCCTACACCTTTCTCTTTGAAAGTGACAGGCAAATACCAGCGGGCCAAGGTCAGGTGAAAATGGCTGCAAAACCCTCGTATTTTCGGCACTGGCGCCATCGTTCTGGTTATGCACCACTCTGGTTATGCACCACTCAGGTGAAGCGCAGGTCACTTTGACTTGTGGTGGGACGCTGGGCAGCGCAACCCTCCACTTCAGGAAGGCGTTTCCCTGGCCAGCGACTGCGTGCCGGGACGAGGGGCGTTCTCCCCGCACACGGCTCCCTCCTCGCTCCGCCCGCTCCGTCCGCTCCGCTCCGCCTCCCCTCCCGCTCCGCCCTCTCCGTCCGCTCCGCCCGCTCCGTCCGCTCCGCCTCTCCTCTCCAAGGCCTCTTCCTGCGCACCGCCCCGCCCTGCCCCGTTCAGGAGGTTCGCGGCGCGGCCATGGCGGCTGTGGACATCCGAGGTAGGCCCGGGACGAGGGCGGCGCTCGGGGCTCCCTCCCGGCGGCTCCGGGGCCCTGCCCGCCGGTCTGGGCTCAGCTCCGCCCGCGGGACAGAGCTCTCCGCGGGGCGGCTGCAGGAGGGGATCGGTGTGGTGGTGTGACGGTCCTTGGAAGCTGGAACGGCCGGGTGGAAAAGCTGCCCAAAAATCAGCTTTCTTGGATGTGCGGCAGGTTGGGAGCGTGTGCTCAGGGCCGCCTGGGAAAAACAAGCTTCCTTCTGTTAGACTCTGCCTTTTCGGGGGGGATAAGCCGGTCCTGCGGTGAGGTGGCGACGTAAGGGAACAGCTGTAAAAGAGAGTTTGGGCTCTGAGGTGTGGGGCAGAGTGGGAAGCGCTGGCATGTGTGTGGGACTTGCACAGGACCAGAGCAGCGAGGGAGGCTTGTATTCTTAAGAGCACTTCAGGTGGATGTGGTGAGACAGGCCAGGTGTTAGGAAAGCTGAAGTAACAAAAAACAAGAAACATCTGGGTGAGAAGTCAGGGATGTGAATAAAAAGAGATTATGTTTTGAAGAAGTGGTATTTGAGTGAAGTGTTAAAGAATATATATGTTGTCAACATAGTAGAAGTTAAATTGTTGTGAAGAATTTGAGCTTCGAGAGAAGTGGAGGTTCAGAAGTCACGTGAAAGGAAAATAATTTTCTCCATAGGAGTGTCTGAATGGAATAACATCAGAAGCCTGTGTGTTGGAGTCTCAGACAATGAACATGAGCAGGCATTTAGGGAAATCTCATGAAGGGTCAATTTTGATAATGCCACAGAGGTGGTTTTTTTTGTCTTCAAATTCTTTATGATTATGTGTAGTTCTGTGCGCTTTTCTGACTGCCTTGTTTGAGATTACACGAAGGAACTATGTAGACAATTAATGAAGAGTGCTGTATTAAGTTATTAGCTAATGTGAGAACCTTCTGTCTTAATCTGTATCAATTAAGCTCCCTCAAATCTTTTGTCTAATATAGTTCAATATATTAAGTAGATTTTGAGGCATACTTCTGTTTTAAATGTCTGCAGTGGATTAACCCTGGCTGGGTGCCAGGTACCCACTAAAACCACTCTTTCACCCCCTTCCTCAACCAGAGAGGGGAGAGAGAATATAATGACAGGCTTGTGGGTGGAGATCAGGGCAGGGAGAGGTCACTCACCAGTTACTGTCCTGGGCAAAACAGACTCGATTTGAGGAAATTAATTGAATTTATTACTAATTAGATTAGAGGAAGATAATGATAATGATCTTAAAAACACCTCAATCACTCCCTTCTTCCTGGGCTTAGCTTTACTCTAAAATGCCTTCTCTCCCCCAGGCAGCAAAGATGAACAGGGAATGGGGTTGTGATCAGTTCATGCATGTTGACACTGCTACTCTGTCCTCCTCAGCAGGAGGACTCTTCACAGTCTTCTACTGCTGGAATGGGACATTCTGGCATATAGAAACGCATGAGTCAGTTTAGTATGTCCAACTGGGACAGTCCATAAGCTGTAAAAATGGCCACAAAACTCTTTTTCCTGTTGCCCCAACAACTAGTATTGTAACTTTACTAAGCAGGCCCTTGCATCTATTTTTTGCTGAATGCGTGGCTCTGCTCTTGATCAGAAGTCCATTGTTTCATTCTGTGGTTGTACTAGGAATGCCTTAATGTTTTCCACCAGTCCCCTCCTCTCACAGTCAGAAATAAATAATGTTTAATCTAATTGTCCCTTCCTGCCTACAAAGCATGCATTGATTCAGGCCAAAGGGTGGGAGCCCTTTCAGACCCCAGCCCCCCCCACCTATTGTTCTCCTTTCACCTTCTTTAGTACCATTCTCTTTTGCTTCACAGTAAAAAGGTATTCACTATAGCCTGCATAACTCCCCCAATTAGGGTTATTAGTCAACACAATAGTTTCCAAAAGCTGATACATTCCAGTAAAACAGATTTAAACCTAGCCACTTTGGTTATGTATTTAAAAAATGAATGGGACTCAGATAAGGGTAAAGCTGATAATGATATTCCCTGAATTTAGAGATCAGGAAGGTTTAGAAATTAAGGTAGAATGCTGGATGATCCATGGGTCCCAGATTTCTCTGCATAACACATCAAAACCAGGAGTGAAAAAGCCTAAACTTTGCACCTCTGGAAAATGGAACTGTTGGTGTAATTTTACTGCGTATCCCTTTGGGCCTACAGTCATGTGAGACTAAAATTTAAATTCAAAATAGATATTACTGAAACTAAAACAACTGCATTTTCACCAATCCAGGAGTATTAGAGTATTTTATCTCCACAAATTTTTGAAATCAGGCCATGTGTGCTCTAAAATAACAGGTCATCAAGAAATTTTGTTTAATTCACCTTGGTCTCTGAAATTGGCAGAATTAGGTTAGATATTAATGCAGATTAATATTCAGCACTTAAACCAACTTGCTCACAATTTTTAAGTACCTTCTGTGCAGGATGGTTAGCTTGGTTACACAGGCAATCCCTCGTTTTTCCAGAATTACCAAGGTCTTTGCAGCCGCAGAGCTGGGCCAGGGTGGAAAAGTGCCCATTGTCACAGCAAGCGTGGCCTCTGCCTGCCCTACCCTCTGGGCCAGCTTTGGGGCTACTTTGCCCAGGTGAACATAACCTGGCAGCTCTGCAGGGCCTGGAAACTTGTGTGGCTGCTTGGCATGGCTTGTGTTGCACTCAGCATCAGGAGAAATGTGACAAAGTGCTCCAGTGGGTGTCCCCCACAGGGTCACGAGCCCTGCCAGCAAACCTGCTCCAGCTTGGGCTCCTCTGTGCAAGGGACCAGAGGTCCTGTCAGGGCCCTGCACCAGCGTGGCTTCCCATGGGGTCACAGCCTCCTTCGAGCATCCACCTGCTCCAGTGTGGGCTCCTCCAGGGGCTGGCTGCAGGTGGATCTCTGCTCCACTGTGGATCTCCACGGGCTGCATGGGGACAGTCACCTTACCACGGTCTGTGCTTGGCTCTGTAGGACATGGGGAAGCTTCCAGCAGCTTCTCACTGAAGCCACCCCTGCAATCCCCCCTACCAGACCTGGTCAGGCAAGCCCAATAGCCTGTCAGGCTACTTTACTGTTCCTCTTGGTTTGTCAAAGCCTACTGCTGGGCTACCTGGCCTTCAGCACATTGTGTGAATTACTCTTCTCTTTTGCTATGGATTGCTGGTTTGTCTTCAAAATTGTCTTGAAAATCATGACAGATTGGCAGAATTGTCACAAGCACTTTACTTTTGCATCTGTGATGCAAATTCCACAATAAATGTTTTGCACAAAATGTCCTATTTTTGAAAGGAACAGAGAAGCAGGAATGCCATCCTTTCTTATACCCAAAATAAACAGTTCATCCTTCAGTATAACAGCCATGTCAGGTTCACAGTTTGTTTTTTTCTTCCTCTCCTTTTTTCCAATAATAGTTAAGAGAATAATCTTGCTAGTTAGAAAGGCAATTATAAATACTGGTGCTAAGCAGCTATGGATAATTCAGTCTTAGAGTCCAACTTTATATTCCATTTTATGATACACTTATCAGTCTATATAGAGCATAATAGCTGCTCATATATCTCTCTAAAGCTCGCCTGACATTCCTCCGAGAAATGCAGGTATTGTTAATCATACAAACAAAGAAAGTGTGTATTTGAAGTATAATGTGAGAGTTTATTATGAGAAGAATGCAAGTGCTTAAGATAGTAAGATTTTTTTGAAAGAGCTCTTTTGGATTTGAACGGCATTTGGAATAAACAGTGCTACCACGACTTAGCTGCTTAATAATGGATCTTAGTGCTGTGTTTCTGAGATTTCCTTTTCTGTAGTGAGGAGAAAGAATAATCTGTGTGAAATAACATGAATGCCTCTAGACTTCTCCTTCCCTTTCCCTGGGAAACGGGCTGAAAATTCTGAGATTAGCAAGGAAAAATGGCTTACACGTAGTTATTTCTGTTGCATTTTTCCTGGTTTGCTAAGCAGGTAGTGGTATTTTATTAACTCTTCCTCAGAGAAGCTGCTAGTAGTGTATGACCTGACATTTTTGAAACTGATCTGATGATCCTCGAGCATGCTGAATTGTCACAGAAGTGAAATATTCTCAGTGGAGTGATAAGTGGGAGTTGAGGGTATATAAGGTGTGAACTTCAGGGAGTGGTTCCTGTGAGGAGGGAATTTCAGATCTTCAGTCAATCTTAATGATTGCTCATCACTTAGGGTTTTTTTTAATTCTAAACAATGCATGTCTCTTCCTGCTTTCATATGTCTTGGAAATTGTTTGCTGCTCCTGTGATTTAAAATCAATGAATTTCAGGGATTTTTTTCCCGGGTCTCTCCTGGATCTCCAGTGTTAGCAAATCCATGGCCTGTGGAACTGGTTGTTGACACTGGTTTCTTTGATGTGCCTGAGGAACATTTTACTGCAGCACGATAACAAAATGCAGGGACTTTAATTCATATTTTCCTAAATCTGTAAGAATTTAACTGGCTTATAATGATTTACAGGTTATAAAGTGCATTCATTTAAAAAGCTTGCTTTTTTATAGAATTGTTAGTGTTCAGTCGTTAGATATCTGTAATATCCACTGAGTTATGGAAGAAGTAATTTGCTGCAGGCAATTTGGCAGATTAATTTTATAGTCAGAAATAGAATCTCTTGTTCAAGATTACTGGGAAGCATCTGCCCAAAGATAGCATCTTTGTGTCAGGAAAATTAATCCACAAACACCAGAGGTTTATGTCCAAAAAGGAGACAGAGGAATCCACTTTGCTTTATTCGATTAAAGGGAAAGGCCATGGGACATTTCCCTGGGATCTCTCCAATTTTTGGAGGACGCAGCCTCCTTTTTATCCTGATTTCCCGGCCGCATTTCCCTCTCTGTTTCCCCATTGGCTGAGGTACTTGAGAGGCACAGACTTCCCGGAACGCCTGATACCTGAGATTCCCCTCTAATGTATAACCCTCCCTTTTAATTTTTAATTCTTATAGAATTCATAGTTTTCCCCCCGTTGCTTCTTTCGTCTTTCGATAGCCAATTCATTTATCAGCAGCCCTACAGTTTGTTTGTAAAGGCAAATATCTTTTTCCATTCATCAATCAGTGGAATCCATCCCATTGTTTCTTTATCTCTCAGTGCTAGCCTTATCTACAAGCAGATCCACAGCACATTTGTAAAGACAAATTCAACATTCCTCTCATTTGTATTTGCTGGGTTTTTTTGGGTCTTTTAAATTTTTTTAAAAATATACTGCTAAGAGACCTGCAGGAAGTTAAAGGTTATCGATTATTATTTGAACTCTGTGAAATACTTCTTTAATTTCAACTGGTGTGTTTGTGTTCCATCTCCTTTCTCTACTATAATTGTTAATTGGTGGCAATTTACTCTTGGATGTATTTGTAGTGTTTTTAACTGCTTTGATACTCAATGTAGATTTATTTTCCCAGATAATCTGTTGGGAATTTCCTGGGTTGACAGCTCCTGGATCCCAATATTAAACAATGGGAGTGTGTTGGACTATTTCTCAGAGCGAAGCAACCCTTTCTATGACCGAACATGTAACAATGAAGTCGTCAAAATGCAGCGGATGACCCTGGACCATTTGAAGTAAGTTGTAATTTGCAACTGGTTCCTGTGCAGTATCCCTTGTCCCTCCATTCAGAGGCTTTGGTGATGGAATGCAAGCGTGCTCTTTCTGTTCTGTGCTTCTTAGTCCCGCCTCCTTCTAGGGAGCCCAGCTATTTCTGTACTTGAATGTTTTCTATTTCTTCTTGGGCCATCTCAAGGAGGTGTTAAACATATTCCTTCATGTTTATCTTTTGAGATTCCTTTAGATATTTCTCTGAAATAGAAAAGCTGTCTTCTCTCATTCTCCCTGCTCAACAGAACCTGAGTAATGTAATGCAGTTAAATTTTTTTTCCTGCGGTGAATAGAGTTCATGTTAGGGGATACTTTGAGTTCATAAATAGTTTGTGTTTCCATATACTGCTGGCTGTGTGCCATAATAAATACATAATTCCTCTGAAAAGCTGGCTTTTTAGTGTGGATAATAAGAGTAGTGAGTGTTATAAATAAACTGATCACATATGGTTGCGTACTGAGATTGCATATGCAAGTTAACTTTCTTTTCAGCTCCCCATCTGCTATGCTGAGCACAGGTGAGTTGTTTGAGAACTATTTAAAGACTCCACAGTATGATAGGGAGTTTGCAAGCAGAGCTAGAAGTCCGTTGATAAAGTCACTTGTGCTCACTGTGGTTGCAGAGAGGCTTTTACTTCAGACACACAACACAGGTGGTCACATCATAGACCAGTGTTTTGTTGCTGTATTTAAATGACATCTCCATGATTATAGGTTGTTATCTTTCTTGCTATTTATCTGTTGCTAATATGTTCTACTTGTGTTGTGTCAGGTTGATATAACTCCCTTTGTCTAAGCACCTAGGTTTTGATAGCTAGCTCAGGAAGTGCTTTGCCTTTATTTACTGCACATTATAAAGAAGAGCTTTCAAAGCATCAGGACTTTGTTACTTTATTGCCAGGCCCTTTGGTCACTCTTCACATCCTACAGATTTTACTTCGAGGAAGATACTTAAGCTGGTTGCTTTTTTTTCAGCCAGATGGTTGGAGTGGAGTACATCCTCCTTCATGCTCAAGAGCCCATTCTCTTCATTATCCGAAAGCAGCAAAGGCAATCTCCAACACAAGGTACAATCATTCACTTTTGCCTCTGTTGAGAAGCCCAGTCTGTCAGTTGGTTTTATCAGTTACTAATTGGCGTCTAAGCACTTCTGCTTCTGCTTTTCTGTCTTAATTTCCAGTCTAACTGGGAAGGAATGAGGCCTTGTGATGAGGACATCCTTTCTCCAGCAGTTCCCTGCAGTGTGCCAGCAGTAGGGAGTGCCATCTTGTGGGGAAATGGGAACAGCGAATAAGAAAGTGCTGCCCTGTGCTACATTCTCCTTCAGGAAATTGTTCATAGTATTCATTCCATGTCATATTTATCTGTTAGGCTATGCAAGAGTGTCCATTTCTTCTTGTGATGGAGTCTTGTGATAAGAGCACCACTCCTTCCTACAGTGTCACTTTCCAGTTTTTAAGTCAAATACCGTAGCGCTTTTTTTCCCATCTGCATGCAGTTGGCTTCATTATCCCTTTTAACCTTGAACTTTTGTGTGTGTGATTAATCAAATATGTAGCCACATTTCATTAGTTATTGGACTGTCTTACCTGTTTACTGCATGTTTATATAAAATAATTTAGGTTATTTCAGAGTAAGTTTTGTAGGAAAGAAAGGCAGGGTTAGTGCTCATTATTTCTTAACTTTTTTTTTAGGGATTTAGGTTCTGTATATACATTTTGATCTTGTACAGGACTTTTCCTTGTCTTGTAATGTTTCTTATTTGCTTATATCAGATAATGGTCTGTTTACATTGCAGTTCCAAATTGAGAAAACATCTATGACTGATTCTTTAGTGTGTAGTTTTGAGTTATTTCTTTGAGATTTTGAACATAGCTTCTAACAGTGAGTATGGAATTATACAGCTCTTAATTTCTGGTTTTGACACCTTTCAGATTGAGACTGTAGTTGGAGCTACCACAGTATGTGTGTTTAGACTTATGCTGTAAGGCAGATGTATGTTTGGTGGAACTTCATTGAGACTTGTTAGGTAACATTTTTGCCACTGTGACTGTAAGGTTTATGCTGGCTACCTTGCATAGTTCCCTATCTCAGATGTTACCATGTGTTTTATTTCATCAGGATACAAAAATGAGTATATTTGAGACATGGGAATGGGGGTGTAAAACTGAAATTTAACGAGTTCATAGCTAGTGTAGAATACTCAAAAGCAGCTGATGCAGGCTTATCTTATGACTTCTGTGTGTTTTTAAAATGGATGTATTTATATCTGAAGTTCTTGAAGACAAGTTTTTTCTGGTTTGAAGGGATATTAGAAAAATCTTTAAATCAATGATTAAGGGGAGTTGCCTGTCTGGGAGAGTAGGCCCTGGTATAGAGCTGTGAGACAGTAAAAACTGCTCTTCTGTGTCTTGCTCCGTTTGTAAAGAAGTGCTAAGCATCCTTTTTCTTTTGAGAAGTGGGTACTGGCTGTAATATGCACCCAGCTGTCTGGGACTGCTAATTCAGGCAGCTTCATAAGCTTCATAAAATGCAAGTACTGGATGAATTGTTAGTAGAGATGGAGGAGCTGGAACACATGTGTGCACAGGTAATGTCCTTAGGAATGTGAAGCTGAGAGCATTGCTATGGTTTCTCAATTGAACAATGTTTGGCAGAGTTACAGAGGTAACTGTAGTGTTTCTCTGCACTGCAGCTCTAATGAGCAAGAATTTTTGATTGGTCAATAGAAATTCCAAATCTGATTTAGCAAATGCCTTTGGAAGGTAGTCTTTTTTAGCAGAATGTTATTAATTTAGAAAAGCATGCTCTGTGTGTGCTTAATTCCATTGGGTCTGGGAAATCTAGCTGAGAGGACTGTAGAAGTTAGAGAAAGCTGAGTTCAGAAGAATGAGATCTTATACTGTTGTTGGTTTCTACTGGTAGCCAAGGCTAGTGGAATTACTTCCAGAGCAGTTCACTTGACTAGTAGTAGCTGTAGTGTACTCTGAAAGCCCTGGCTTCAGATTTGCCTCAGTTTGTGAGGCAAATCATTTGCTTGCAGTAGGACAGGACTTTAAAGCTGATGCTTTGCTATCTGTAAAACAGACGTTGGTTTTTCTCTCCTTATCAGTCTGTGCCTAAGTTGCAAATAAAGTACCTTGAAGGGAAAAGTTAACAAAAGATAAGAGAAATATTGCAATTTCTGCTGCTACAACTGAAATTCAGCAACAAATGCACAGTCTTCAGCCAGAGCTTTAAATTGATCCCGAGTTTTTCTTCTTTTCCTTCCCACAGTTATGCCATTGGCTGACTACTATATTATTGCTGGAGTGATTTATCAAGCACCTGACTTAGGGTCTGTCATTAACTCCAGAGTTGTAAGTGTTACTGGTATATATCCATTTATACCCGTTGTATACTGGTTTATATCCATTTTTACTTTTGGTTGTCCCCCAGGCTGATTAAATCTCTCCCTCGCTATTTTGAGGAGAGATCTTGTGTAGTAATGGTGAAGTAACTTAAAACAAACCCCACTGGGTTAATATTGTGTGCATCCCACATGAAAATGGAAGATCTTGTGAGAGTATAGTATTGCCTAGAAACTAGGATACATTTTTTAAAGATGAAGGATCAGAATAACTGAAGCTATACTAATTGGCAGAACAACATGAAGTTTGAATAATGAAAATTTTAAAAAAATATTTGACAAATACATCTGAGATACTAATTAAATATGTAATCAGTGAAGCTTGCTTTGGAACATTAATGTTAAGATAATATAACATTTATTTTTAAATGAGGCTTATGTTTTTAAGTTAATGTGGTATTTCTTCTTAAATGGGATGGTCAAGTTTGTTTTGGTTCCTTCTGTTTTTGTAAACTATTGCTTTTGCAAGTTTTTCTCTGTCAGTTTAGAAAAGCACTTCAGAAGAGCCTTGTGAGAACCTGTGAGAGAAATTACATCTCAGTCCAAAACTGGATATTCCAAGTTCTGTTCCCAGAACAAAAATGAATATAGAATGCTAATTTTAAAATACCTACTTTCAAAAATTTATGTTGTGTTTTTTCCTTGAGTTCTGAACACTGCCTTCCATTCTTGTTCTGAAAGCTCACTGCAGTGCATGGAATTCAGTCTGCCTTTGAAGAAGCTATGTCCTACTGTCGCTATCACCCATCCAAGGGCTACTGGTGGCATTTCAAAGATCAAGAAGAACGAGGTATGATTGCTAGTTTCTCCTGCATCCTTTGGGAGAGGAAATAAATGTAGGGAAAAGCTTGAGGCAATGCACAGAGATGGTGGAGAGGTGAGATGAAGTGGCTGAAGGTTATGTTAGGGCTCTCTACCAGGTGAAAGCCCTTCTGTGCTGGTGGGAATGAACATGGAGGCATGGGTAGGAGATGAAAATAATGAACTGTGTGTAAATGAAGAGGACAACTCTTCAACCTACTGGGGACCAAAACACATTTTCAGAAGCCAAACCAATTTGTCAGGAAGTAGGAATCATCCTTAATCTGTCTTCCACAAAAAAAAAAAAAAAAATGTCAGTCAGAATATGAGGTGAATTTCAGAGGAGAGACAAATACCAACTTGTCATACAACAAAGAGCTGCTAAGAGAAAATAAATTTTAATACATCTTTCTGTAATATTTCTGTGACTTGCAGAGAAAACTAAACCAAAAGCCAAGAAGAAAGAAGAACCAAGCTCTATTTTCCAAAGGCAACGGGTAGATGCTTTGCTTTTAGACCTAAGACAAAAGTTTCCACCCAGATTTGTTCAGGTATGACACTCAAAAGCTGCAGTTTTACTGTAACTTAGAACTTAAAAGAGTGTGATAAGTATTTAAACAGCTGAAACTGAATGGGAATTTAATGTATTTCTGCAATAGTAACATGGATTAGATAATAAACTTGACATGGAAGGCTCATATTAGAATGTAAGATCTCCCTTTGTAATCACAAGTCATGAAGACCTTGGCAAAACTTTGAGAGTGGATTTTATTATACACCTTCCTTATCTGATCACAGAGGATCTGTTCTCAGCTATCAGATGTTGCTGCTGCTTGCAGTTTCCTGCTTTGTGAACTCAATCAAGCTATCACAGTATTTTGTTTTAGTTGCTCCATTGTTTGGGAGACTCATTAGTTAGCATGGAAGTGCTTGGCATTCTGTGAAGTTGTTGTGGTTACCTCTGATTGTCTTTGGTAGCCAGTTGTTCCACCAGGTCTTCTGCTTGGGAGCAAAGGAAATTATGTTTATAGCATTTCACAAAAGTGCTCCTCAGCCAGTCCTGGGCAAGATTGGCTAACTGCATATTTTTGTCTTTAGTGTTTTTCAGTTGTCAGAGGAAAAACTGGATGTTACAAAATGTTAACTGGGTTTTATTTAAAGTGCATTTAATGACCCATTCTACGTATAAGAGTATAGTACTTATATTTTATTCCTAAATTAATGGGAGGAAGGGTTGAGAATTACAGCTTTGATTCCACTGATGTGTTGTTTGGTTTTTTTTTTTTTTCTTCCTCCACAGCAAAAGCCTGGAGAAAAGCCTATCCCAGGTAAATCTGTAATATTCTCACAAGACTTAAAAAATAGATTCTGTATGCAGTATCTTTTAGTTGCCTTGTAAGCTCTTGCTGCTGCTACTGTAAGGTGGTTTGGAATTCTGGCATTACCGAATTGTGCAGAGTAATGGATGAGAGTGAAGACTTTGAGTTGATCATAGGCAACTTCCAAACATGAAAGGCATGAACTTCAATCTCTTCCACCTTTTAATGGATATAAGTATGAATTTATTCTCTGCTTATTATTCTTCCACCTTTGAAATGAATGTTGCTGTTTGACATTAACAATGTTTTCTAAATACTCTGAAGCGTGTTTTAGGAATGAAAATCAGAGGTTTAACTTTCTTTTGCTGTTACATCTTTAGTGGATCAAATCAAGAAGGAACCAGAACCAGTACCTGAAGCTGTCAAGCCAGAGGAAAAAGAGACTGTAAAGAATGCTCAGAGTTCTGGTGCTAAAGGACCACCTGAAAAACGAATGAGACTCCAGTGAAAGGAGAAGCTATTACACATCTGGATTAGTCAGTACCTGGAAAACAGAAGGTTCTTGCTCCCTCTTCTTTATATTTAAGCTCTTCCACTGAGACTGGTAGTTCAGAGACTGAGATCCCTGCAACAGCTTTTTCTGTAAAAACCTCTCATGCAAATGTAATGTGAGCTGCCTCAAAGGAGGTGTTTTCAGTCTTCATCTTACTTTGAATGCTGGCTTCTGAGAATGGTTTTTACATGGACGTGTTCAGCAGCCTCATGGTATCTTTACAAAGTCTTGCATTGTTTATGTCTAGGTTTTCTATGTAAAAAGAAAAAAAAACTTTTATATATGAAAAGGAAGTGGAATTCTTGGCAAATAAAACTCCTGGCTGCTGGCATGCCTTTCTTAAATGTATACTTTGTTAGTAGCAACTATGTCATATGTGCTGGCAGCATTTTTTTTTTTTTTTTGCTTGGACATTGGAATATATTGTGTTCTATTCTGAATACAAATTGCTGTGCCTCTAGTGTGCTTGGGATAAAGATAAAATATTTGATAACTGGACCCTCAATCCATGTCAGAATGGTCTCAGTTTCTAGATATTCTTGGACACTGGTTTTACTTAATGGTTAAGTGGATAATTTATTACAGAAGTTAGTGTTTTGAGACAGAGATCTATGACATGAGAAGCTAAAATTTCTTCATGTTACACAATAAGGGGAGCTGTTTATATTTCTAATTTTTCACTGTAACTCAAATATATCAATTACATCTCTTCCTCTGTGCTTCTGCCACTTCTTTGCTCCTGCATTAGACATCTGTCTTAAAGACTTGTGGAAGTGGGACAGTGGAAGAGAAACATCACTGACACTTATATGCTTATTTAAGCATATTGCTTGCATAATATTTTTTTTCTCAGAAAAATTAGAAATCATCCGTTTAAAAGAAATTACTATTAGTTTGGTTTTGGTTTTTCATTGAAGTAATGGAGTGAACTGTGGAATAGTTTGCTTTCTTTCCACAACTGTTACCTGCTTTCATGCAGTAAACTGTAGTTAGGAAAAAAAAAGTTTGTACACAGATGTAGATAGGCAGAAAGATTAAAGTATGCTTAGATGGCTGTGTCAAATTTATCTTCAGGTTACAAGATATTCTTTTTCAGTAACTTAGCTCTCCAGTCAGAGCTGTTTATTACTGAATGATAGAAAGATCCATGTCATTTTTGTCATATAATCCAAAGCTGTATTGTCAAAAGATATAGGTATGCCAATAACTGTTCTCATTTAATGCAGATACAGATCTGAAATTCATATATTCATATAGTTCAGTGTGTATTAGGTTTATTTCATAGCTGGATCAGGTTTGAACAGCCATTTCTCAAAATGTTGATAGAAGTAGATAAGAAACTAATGTGAACTATCAGATCAAGTGAAAACATAGAAAGCAGTTATTCTGGGATACTCAAAACCAGACAAGGTGGTGTGAATATACTTGGAAAAACAGGGTGTTGGTTCTATTTTGTATTATAGAAATTCTTGTTAAAGCAAGTAGTGGAAGAACTGCCAAAGCCACATCCACCCCCATGAAGGGAAGCCAAGATTTCCAGAAATGAGACATGAATGGTGAGGCACCTCAGCAGTCATTGCTGTTGATTGTGACAATAAAGTCCTTGGAAATGGCCATTAAAGGAGCTGAGAACCTCTGTGTAATTTGGAAAAAGTTACCAAGACAGATGACAGACTGCACTTAATGAAGATCTAGGATGTTGGGCTTTGGTTGTGTGGGGTTTTTTTTGGTGGAGTTTTTTTGGTTTGGTTTGGTTTCTGTAATGGAGAAAAATTATTTACTCATTCACCAAGGAAATACTTAACACTACTAGCAGAAAGAAGGCTTCCTTATTGCTGAAGGCACATACAGCTGTGGCAAAAAATGCATGCTAGAATATAGTATGAGCAAAATATTCTATCAGTCACTGGATTTTACCTGAAGTAAAATGTGTTGTATAATTCAATGTCTGAAAAGGAATTCCCCTAAAGTAGAAAGGTTTGAAGAGGGCCAGTAAAATGAGTAGGACAGAGTTTCTCCTATGATGACATGGGGAAGACAAATATTCAGTCTTTATGAAATTAAGTAGTGAAACAAGTAGGAAAGTAGAAGACTCTTGTTCTGTGTTGTAGTACGAGAATAGAGGGACAGGTAAATGAAACTGAATTGGAGTTACATTTGGACTGAACCACTATACTCCATGCTCAGAATTTGAGCTGATCAGAGACCATGAAGGGGCAGAGTGTCCTCACATCTGTATCTCTCAGCAGCCTTTCTGCCTTCTGCAGAAATACCTCGTGTTGGCTGGTGTCAAAGGGCATTAAAAAGGATGGATTCCTGGTCTGATCCTTTTGAGTTAAAGTGCCAGCATCTAAGCTATTGAAAAGACAGCAAATGGCTTCCATTCATGAAACAAGCATTTGAATGTGCTAAGCCTTTTCCAGGGGAATGATCTTTCCCTGTGCACATTACATTATAAAGCAGTAAGGAATGTTACCAGTGTGTCGATTTCTTAGTAGCTGTCCAGTGCTGAAGGTTTGCCGTATGAGGGACTGAAAGATCTTCTGGTCCTGTTACTTGCTGACCGGGTATTCTACAATAATTTCATCAGTTAAGTGAGCTGTGATATTAATTTCCTGAAGTGACGTTATGTTAGATATTACTGTTGAGATGTTAAGCAGGTATCTTGTAGTCAGTAATGTTTTTCATTGCATGAGAGTCCAAGCCTTTTCTGTTTTGGTTTAGAATCTGACTGCAAAGTCCAAAGTCCTTCCAAAGGATGTTCAGAATTTGTAAAGCTTGTAGATGAAAGGCAAAGAAGCAAGCACTTCTGAAATTTGTTTGTGTGTCACTTTCTTCTGTATAAAGGAGCGATTTGGTTGAACAGGAGAACTATCTCTACTTTTTGCTCTTAGGTAATAACCATTCAGACTTCAAAAGGGCTTTTTTTTGCCTACATCTTGGGATAGTGGGAGCTGAAAATTACCTGGAACTCTAACAGAAACAATTCTCCTCAGAACCTGAAAGTACATATAAATGTTTGCATACCCATGAACAGCTACCCATATTTGTGTGTATATGTGTGTATGTGCACATGTGCATGCAAAAATCCAGCCAGACTGTTGGAAGAGGGTTACTCTAGCTACCTCAGTTTGTGTAAAGCTAATGGTGTCTCAAGTGCAGCAGAAATTCTGCTTTTGTCATCTTTTCATTAAGTAAGGTCTGACCAGGCTATATGTTGCTTTCACACATTCCTTTTTGCCACTCTGCCTCCATACTTCACACTTTGGTAACCTTTTTCTAGCAAAGAAAGTTAGATGCCATCTGGCCAGTCAGTACATTTTGTTTGTCAAAGCAAACAGTTCTTGGAGCAAGAAGGGTATAGGCAATAGGAGAGAAAAGGCAAAGGGGGTAGATCAGCTTTATACTAATACTTTGAGAACTGAGTATTTTCTGGTCTTAACTGTATAGCTATTTTTATGTTAAAAGAGAAAGTAAGAAGTAGGCAACTTCAGGCTGAGGGGTGGAAGGGATGGTAAGACATGACTCTTGCAAATTGGCAGTGGGATTTAGTAGGGCCTTTTGTATAACTTAAGGAGTGATCACACAGCAGAAGTATGCATTAAAAAATAGCACTACAGAATGCATGCAGATTATGTAACAGGATTTTTTCCATTACTGTGGTCTGGGTTATATTTATTGCAAGAGACATAATCTGATGTAGTTCCCAGTACTGAAATGCTAAGCTGATAATTGAATAGTGGACAAGCATTCAACAACTAGCTGCACATAAAAGACTTGACAAGAAACAGTTTCTTTAATTTTAAAACTAATAAGAAAATAAATGTAAGGCTAAAATAGATAGGTCATGAGGTTGGATGATTATCTAGAAAGATCTTCCTAGATGGAAAATAATAGAAGCAGGCATCCTGTATTCATTTCTTTATTCTGAGGTAGCCTATTACAAGGTGTATGCTGCTAATGCTGGCCATGCTTGCAAGGAATGAGCAGGGTACCAGACCACAGAATCTGAAGCACCTTTGGACAACAGTTGGTAACCTCCACAGCTGTTAGTTGGGCCTGCCATATGCCCAGTGTGAGGTACCAGCCCACTCAGGACCTAGGGGCATGAGGCAGCAGGAGGTTCTGAGCATTCTGCCAGCTTCTTTCTTTCTTTCCTGCCCAGCCTCCTGAGGGGCAATGCCTATGTCCTGTAGTTTGAAATGTTAAGTGTTGCTGCCTGTGTCAGTGATGGTCAGCACATGGAAGTTGGTGACAAATGGCAGGATTCATGAGATCTATATGGGATCGTAGAAGGGTACACCTCCTGCATCTGAGAAAGAGAAGGGCCTTAGCAGGTTGGATTTCATCCCAAATGTGCTTGTGGTGCTGAAAAGAAAGTTGTGAAGAGTTCCCAAAAGGTAACAGCTGTGGCTATGTTGAATCCCAGCACTATGTGCCAGAAAACCAGCATGCACAGCTGTTTTGTGCAGGACATCCTGTTTACCATCCTGTTTTAATCCAGATCATTGTCTTATGGTTGTGTCTTGCTGGAGCTGTACCCAAAATGGGGATGGTAGCCAAGTGTAGATGTACCTGTAAGTGTTCTCTTTCCATTGCTATAAAATTACAAGTCTTTAGAAAGGATGTGATGTGGGAAAATGGCTGCTGCATACAGGCTGCTGCCTGTAATTTAGGTGCATTGGTGTAGGTATGTAGCAGCTATGGTGTAGGTTTATACTTGGTACTATTCGTTTGCATTTATATTACAGAATGTAGTGGCAGTGAATTTCCCCGATTCTGTGTTTTTTTTCTTGGGGGGGTGTGGTGTGTGTATGCTGTAGTAGCTATAGTAAGGGACATGCTACGGTCACCACAGAGACTATTTCTGTACTTACTCATTTCAGACTCTAAGCCTGTCCAGATGAGGTTTTCCTTGGGCTGAAATAGCTTGTTTCTGATGTCCACTCACAAATTATCCTGCAATGAAAACAGCAAAAAAAGCAAAAGCCAATCATTTGAGATTTTAAAACAGATTTTCCCACTTGTGGTCTACTCAAATGATCCCTTTGCTTAACACAAACATCTGTGACAAGGAGTGTGAAGCTGAACTGGGGGCTGTCCTCGCTATGTCTGCTCAGAAGGAGAAGTACCCATTAATTTGAAAGGAAGGTTATTAAAAGCTGGGAACGCGTTTGCGGGAGGCTAATTTACCGGTTCCTTCTCAGGAGAGCCTCTGTCCTGGCTCGAAGAGCAGGGCGGGCTGTCTGGAGGCGCCCGGGCAGCGCTGGGCGATGCGCCCCGGCCGCAGGTGCCGTTTCCCCGCCGGCCCCGGCCCGGCCCGGCCCGCACGGCGGCAGTTGGAGCCTCGGGGCGGTTCCGCCCGGGCTGGGCCCTCGCAGGTTCCATCCCGGCTCGGGCGGGGGCGGCCGGCGGCCGCGATGGGGGCGCTGCCGGGGCTCCTGCTGCTGCTGCTGCTGCTGGCCGTGGCGGGGTGCCCCGGGGCCCGGGGGGCCCGGCCCGCCG